AACAGGAATATATTAACAATTAAGAGAAGTTTATAGTGACACCTAGGTTTTTTTTTTTATTTGAGAAATTGCTGCGTCAAACATTGTATCGTCGATTTTTTGGACATGTCACTGTTTGGTTTAGCATTCACTTTTCAAATGCAATAGGCTTTTCATGTCTGAAAAAAACTGGAATTAATAATCACTTCTAATTAATAATTCTTGGTCACTATGATTCGACTGCAAAAATACTATTTATATATTTTCATTATTTATTTTATTAATTTAGTTAGAACAAAAATCAAGGTTTTAACAAAGGAAAATAAACATAAAAATCGTTTGAATGTTCTACTTTTTTATAGATATTTAATTCTTTCACTTTGATACAATTAAGCCGTGTTGCATCTCTTGTAAAGTTATCTGTGACGATGATTAATTGATTATAATCAATTGTTAATTCAGTTAGACGAGGTAGATGTGATTTTCTTTCATTGAGAAATTGATCAACATAATCAATATGAACATCGATCAGATGAAGCGAAATAAGATAAGGATATGTAACAATTGAGCACAATTGATTATCATTAGAGTTCCACTCGTCTGATATTGATGATTGTGGATTAAAATTACCAACATATAATTCATTAAGCAACGGAAAAGAGAAAGCAATCCGGTTAAAAAATTCATGTTTGAATGGAACATCATCCTGCACCGATAATCTTCTAACATGACTGAATATAATACTTGGAAATATGTTACCAATATTGTCAAGATCTTCAAACATAAACGGTATTGAAAAGACATGACATTTGACTAAGTCATGTTCATAGTTTACAATACAATCCACTTGTTGATATTTTATATTATTATTAAGTGTTCGTTGAATCTCATCTTTCGATAGATGACGAACTAAAGAATCCATTCGAGCGCGGGTAGAAATATAAAAATTAAATATATGAAGTCGTGGCATATGAATAAGAATTTCATTATAAATATGAGTACCATCGATAAATATAGTTCGATTGTGGACAATAATATACAAAGTTAATTCTTCAAGATTTGACATACGACGAAAAAGAGGTAGAATCATAGTATCATAATCATTAGTTAAGCAGTAAAACGATTTTAAGGAGAAATATTTCAAGTTAGGTAGATCATCCTAGAAAGTAAAAATCAATATTTCTAAATGTATTACTATCGATTAAACAAGAAAGACTTCAGGTGAATAACTGTTGAAAAAGCTGTTTCAATTCAATCTTTTTTTAAATCGCTCTACTGTATGATACATATATAGCTTCTTCAATAATGATTAAGATAATTATATTGTATTCTTGAACTTTTACCACATAAGAAATAATGGATACTGAGATTACTCGAAAACATTTCAGTCAAGTTTATTATTATATCTATACTACAACAATATTATTTGTACAGACAATTTATATCAATAGATAATCATGACTGTTTCCATTATATCAAATCATCAGAATTCAGTCGAACAAATGTTGTTTATACTAAAATCTTCACTGAAAACTCATCCGTTCAAAACAAATAAAAGTAACGTCGATGTAACTTTTCTATAATTGTTTCTATATTTCATATTCTTTATCTATTCTCACCATTTAAACTATTTGATATTTGCGACTCTTGTAGTTTTTCTGTGTTATAAAATAGTGAAAATGATTAAGATGACTAACGAAGAAAAAATCAAAGATTGATAGCAACTGTGAAGGAATAACGTTAGACTAAGATAAGTTTAATATCTTCTGGACTTCTCGAAGAACTAGATATATTTTCAAAATATCTCGAGATGAACGTGTTCAGTCTTGTTTTTAAAACAAATGATTTTTGAGTAGAAAATGATACATTATCAATAGATCTAAACACTCAGTTAAACTAAACAGTTTGTTTGTTACAATAAAATCTCATCATTTGATTTATTTCTTCAAATCAACTGATAAGCACGATATAGTTTATTATTTAATATTATGTAAAAAATTAATTATAATTATTTACTTATCGAATAAACGAGCATTCATTTTAAAACTATTTAATTATAGTTCATTTAGATAGTAACTTACTATCAGAAGACTCTATTCATAATAATATGAAAAATCCGACCGCTCTGATCAATAGTATTTTTTCTAAGTTGAAAAGATTAAACTAATAAAATATAAACTTACCATATTGTAAATTGTCGATGAAGGATATTCCATACTACTAATATCAACAATCAAGGTGTTTAATTGTTTGAGACGACCACCAAGTAAAGCAAGACAATCTTGAAAACTCATCACTTGAATACATAATTTATTAAGAGTTGAAGAGAAAAAGGTAGTTAATGGTAAATCATGAAGTTGCAAAAGTGGAAAATAGCAGGAATCTGATCTCATAATAGATAAATCTTTGAGATTTTCAAAGAATTTTAGAATATATTCATATACATCTATTGTATACTGTTTTACTGATATTTTATTCAAATCAGTTTTGAATACAAGAATAAGATTTGTAATTTGTTGTTGAAAAATCCGTCGCAATGGTGATTGATCTAAATAAAAAACAAAAATAAATAGTTATTTTCTTGTCTATCTATACAACAAATTTTTATTGAAATCTTTCCTCTGATCAATACGTAAATTATTTACCTGTAAAATATTGTGAAACAACTTTACGATTAAAATTATAAAGTTTAAGTTCAGTTAAATTAGGATAATCACCAACAAGAAGAATACGTTCTATAGACACTGAATCAACAATAAGAGATTTAACATTGTGATGAATTCTTGGTAAAATAGTTGTACAAAATCGATCAACGATTGTATCAGGAAGCGAAAAAATATCATCAGTTAATGTTGTTAATACAAAATTGAGAGTATTAGTAAAAGTTTTTTCTTGTACTATAATGTCAAGTCGTTGATGATCAACATCCAATAATGAATAAAGAATATCCATTTTGCTGAGCTTTTTCAAAATGAGAAGTAATATTTCATTAGGTAAATCAAGAAAACCAACATTAGATTGATTCATATTGACTTTGACTAACTCTTTTCTTATGACGCATATATATATATGTTTATTATTTGTTTCTGCCGGCTGCTATGATTGAACAAAATGAATGGATGACCTCACGAAAGAAATGTATAGCCTGAACGAATAGTTCAATTGATGAACGAATGAGCGATCTTTTTTTTTTTCTATCGTTGATATTATTTTCATTGTTAGTTGGTCTTTTTATTGGTATGATGGAAAAAGGCAGAAAGGAAAAATGTCGAAAATAAAAATATCGAAAACAAAAATAATACAAATGTAGATGAATAGAAATACTGAAAACAAAAGTATATTGAAGTACAAATCTCTCTCATCCTCACCTTCAAGCTTACATGTTCATCTTCATCTCATATTGTTGTTTTCGATACTTTTCCCTTTCGACATTTTTCCTTTCTGCCTTTTTCCATCCATTCAAACAAATGCTTTCTTCGTCTTCTTCCTCTTACTTATATAAATACCAATACCACGAATTGATGTGGTGAATTGAAAAACAATAAGTAACTTCTTGTGTTTTTTTTTTCTTGTCTTTGTATGTAGTCTGTAGTCTTTTTCTTTATTTGTGAACCTATATACACATATTGTTTGCTGATCCTTTGAATATATATATACGTTGAGCTTTTGCTCTGCTTCTTCTTACTATTGAAATATACATATATATATTTACAAAAAAAAATACATAGTGATAAAAAGACTAAATTTAAGAGAATTACAGATAATGACATTTGATCCAACAAAACATTCACATTGTCGATATAACCCATTGAAAGATGAATGGATACTTGTTTCACCACAACGATTAAGTCGATCATGGCAAGACTGGTCTAATATTTATACGTAGAATTTCCTTTTTTTTTTTTTGTTCTTGAATTATCAGTAGCTTTTTTATAATAGGTCAAGTTCATGATGATAAAAATGATGATGATAATGAAGATATTAATAACAATCAACTATCAACAAATCCTCTTTGTCCTGGTGCTATTCGTGGAAAAACAAATCAACTTAATCCATTCTATGAACATACATATGTTTTCGATAATGATTATTCTGCACCAGGGGTCCTAATGGGCTGGGCTTGGCCCAGCCCAGCCCATGGGCCGAAATTTTTTAAATAGAAAACCATGGGCTGGGCCAAGCCAAGCACAGCCCGGCCCAGCCCATGGGCCAAAATTTTTTTTCGATATATCGAATTTAATACTTTTATTTGCTACAATATAGCTATATTCGTGAAGAAATGAAACGAATCATTTACGAATCCAAACAACAAGGAAATATAGTTTCGCCTAAAAATAATAATAACAGAATTCTTTTTTTGTATAACAGCAGAATGAGTGAAAAAAATCCAATCAAAACACATATGAATTGGTCTTAAATCGGTCATTGATTATAGTCTTTGATATGACTCTTTAATCGACGAAATAAGAAAAGGAATTCGTCGTGTACCAAAAAAAAAAACAATCTTGTTCGCAACGTTAAAAATTAGTCATACAGAGTTTAGTCTATTTTGAAAACTAAAGGTGTATATATAAAATAAACTCTGTATTGTAGATTGTAGAGCTTTTCATGCTACATTTCGTAATATATTTTGTTTTTCAATAAAATCCATTTTATGATGTAAAAATAAAATACAAAACCCAGGCATTCGTTATGGCCTGCTCGTTAGATCTATTATATCTATTCTGTTCTGTGAGACAATAAAATAAAGGAAAGAAAATAACTGTTCTTGATTATTTTATGTCAAATTATATTCAAAAAGTTTTTCTTTTTGTTAGATTAACATAATATGAATATAATAATTTTAAAAAATGAATAGTGAAATTAAAACTGTATATTATCATTGCCACATCTACATCGTGACATCAGAATTTCAACTGGTAATTAACATCATAATTATGAATTGTGTGATTGAAGTAACAGTTTTCAATACTTGAATGAATAGAGTGCATGCAACTCGGTCATTGATACTAAAGATTAGGAAACGCCTTTAATATTATAAAATCCGTAATTTTTTTTCTTTGTTATCTGATGAGAATATGATCTATTCTCATATTGCTATATATGTTTAAAGTAAAAAAATTATATTTTTTTTATTTGTTCATTGGAATTTATTTGTCAGTAGAATATTGAAAGAGATGATGTTGAGATCTATTTGAATTGAAGTCAAATAGTATGGAATTTAGTAAAGTTGATTTTCATTATACGTAAACATGTACTTTTTGACGTTGGGTTGAATCTGAATTTTGTAGTCTCTATATAGTGCTAAATTTTTTCATCTTTTATAAATATTAAAAAGAGTTGAAGATCTTTATAACACAGTATGATATCATAAAAAAAGACTATTTACTAATGTTTTAAGTTAAAAGAATATTGAAGAATGAATTTTATAATAGACTTTCCTTAGATAAATAGAATATCTTAAGATGGTCTTCGTTTTGTTTTAGTATCCAAATATTTCATTAAAGGTCATCAGATATGACCTAACTAGATTATTTATTTTCTTTAAATGCTAAAGTTTAAAGAATTAATACTTAGCATCATTAACATTTATCTTATTTCGGGTTTATATGAAATAACGAAATGCTTTTTACTGTTGTTTCTGTTATTATTTTATTGATATAAATAATTGAATTTCATTGATAAAATCTTTTAAAATGCATCTTGTACATTGCTAATTATTCTTATTCATTACGAATATACAATAAAAAAAAACTTTTCAAGACTAGGAGAATTCTGTTATTCTGTTTAAAATATCTCGCACATCAAAAGCATTGAAATATCGAAACAATATTTTTAAACAAATGAAGAATTATATTTTATGATGGAATGTTATTCATTTTTTTTTCAACATTATACTTCGAATAGTATGTTCTGAATAATCATTATGAAATACAATAGACTCGTTAAACAACATGTTAAATATTTACTCACTGTCATGTCTATTTTCTCTTTACGAAAATTTTTTCCCCTTTTTGTTACTTTGATTTACATATTCACTTCATATGTTTTTCTACTTAATGATATAGTTTGTTCATCATGGAACTGGTTTGATTATTCAATCAATATTATCAAGTTTTTTTTTTCTTATAGAATTTATCGTTGTTGAAAAGACATTGACTTCTCTTTTACTGATCGATGTATTCATCGATTGATTTATTATAATGTATTATGAATGGCATATTGTTGTTATATAAGTGACTTTGCTATTTTTATAATAAAAAATGGTGCAACATTGATTGAATTTTTAAGAATCGTACACCATTGTTAATCATTTCTGTCTTTGACACAAATACTTATATAGGTTTTCTTGTTGAAAAATATACAAGAACATAAAAAGCATTCAAATGGTACCTTGACAAAAAAAATTCATCATACAATTATACGTAATATCAAGGTTATATTCAGCTATAGGAATACTATTGCCAATACTATCATTGATTAATAGATATGGGATACCAAGATTTTTTGTTATAAGACCAAATTGATTATATATGTATTTGTTTCTATGGTTAACTCGTCTTACACATTCATATTTAGTTCTTCTTATGTATTGGGTGGGGTGGGTGGGTGTGGGTAAAGAGGAAAATGATACCCACATCCACACCTACCCCACATCCCACACCCGCCCACACTCACACCCTTCACAAGACACCTAGCTGAATCTCTCCTCTATGGGCTGGTGAAATTCGTTTCTCAAAATGTTGTGAGTATCGCTATCTACAAGGTGTTCTTTGAGAGCTACTTTTCGATTCTACATTCACCCCATTTGAGGGGAATGTAGAATCACGCTGGTGCTATTGGGGTGAATGTAGAATCTCAGCTATTTTCTACATAATTGTTAAAATCTAATTTTTCAGAGTTTAATATAATATTTTTTGGTGATTTTTCAGCAGTTGATAGCCCAAAGTCTTTTCTATTGCTCTAAACTAATCTTACGATTATAAGTCAAGACTGTACTTTTTTATAAAGCTTGCAAAAAGGGCTCCAAAAAAAAATTTTTGTCTACAATTACCCCATATGGGGTGAATGTAGAATCTTAGTCTATCTGGCTGAGTTTCATAAAACAAAATTTCTACATAATTGAAGTCAATCATAGAAGTTTTTTATGAGTAAAAACCCTTCAGCTTTTGAAGCGCTATCATCCTAGAGTATTTTTATGACATTTTGAAAAGATAAAAATAATTTACTTGAGCAAAAAGATAGAAACCAGCAAGAATAAAATCCATCGCAGTGCTTAGAAGATCATTTCTTGGTATTCATGATGTTTCATATACAAAATATATTTCCATGATGAAAAAAAATATAAACAAGTATATATATGACATAAAATAACAAACCATATAGTACATAAGACGGAAAAATATTATTAACAAATTGTTCTCTGAAGACTAACATCCAAATAACACACTTCGCATTGAAAATAATAATTGGAAAAGTTGAAGCTGGTCGTGCAAGAAGTGCAATACATTTGATTACATGAAATGCATTCGAAAAACTGATTCATATTGGTGTAGATCAAGTTGTTGTATTTGTAACGCGTTTGGCAATGAATGAAATAAGGATTTCCTTGAACTTGATTATAATATGAATTATTTGAATGATTTATATTTGAATTACTAATTGTTGTATATGATGAAGATGATGCATCAGTTAACATTGGTTGATTATCGTTTGTAATATCCATATTGTCGAGTGATTCTTCATTTGTAATATTTGATAATTTTCTCTTCGTATTTCGTGAACTACAGAAAACAAATCCTCCATTGCTCATATTATTTTCAGCGCATACCCTTTAAGTTTATTTAATTGTTTTTTTCGTTTTTCAAATTTTCTTTTGATAATTTTTTTTTCGACTGTTTTCTTTGTTATGTATT